GCCAATGCACATCTGAACACCTTTCCCTTGTATCCATGAATTCTTCTTTAGATGTTAAACTCTTTGGTTTAGGGATGATCAAATCCTACATATCAAACATGCTTTTAGTGCTCTTTGCAACTAAACATCTAATGCAGATATAGTCACATAGTATTTACTGGGCTCCAGCAAAAGTAACTAAAGGGAATTCTCTGCCCTTGGTTATGCAGGAAGATTGATTAGATGATGTATCAGTACCACTCCGTTTTAATAATTTTTAAATCTAATCCCAAATCCACAGAATTCTTTAGAAAAACAATGACTTCATCTGTCTTTGGTTCAGAACCACTGTATTGAACTTACAGAGGTTGAATGACACTTTACAAATATGTGGTCTTCTTGCTAGGTATTTATAATCCTTGCTCATGATCATGGTATTTGACTAACTTCCTAAAAAACCCATGCAGATACTACCAGAAGACACCACAATCTATCCAAAGGGCTCATACCACAGCCCACAGGAAGGTGCTGGATCTCTTAACGAATCATTAGTCAAATATGTATTTATTGATGGCCAAAACCACATCAGCATAAGTGGAAAAAGAATGAGTATTTAAAAAATTGAATACGTTTTTTCATTACAAACTGTTCACTTAACTCTAACTGCAACTTGTTTTCAAGAGCCTAGAGGGAAGTGAATCATACTCATTAGGAAAATCAGCCTCCCCTCAATCAATCCAGTGATGTAATCTCTACAGCATAGACTTATTGGACTGGAGATAATGGCATGAATTTAATGAATGACACATTTCTATATAGGGCAAACTTCTTGTATCCAAAAGAATGCAGCTACCTCCACAGTGCCATCTGTATTACTGTGCAATGGCAGAGTACTGTGTTCATAAACAAAGTTCGGATAGGAATGAGGGAGCTGTGATGTTGAATCTTACAAAAATGATGCCTTTGTGGTTCAAGGTGCTTTTGCATTGACATAACCGGTACCTCTCAATCTGTGTGACCAGACAGATCTGACGAATGTCACTTGTCAGAAAGATGGCACCCACTGACTTCAACATGTGACTATATACCACAGCCTTTTAGACACACCTTTGCACTGATTGTCTGATCTGAGTTGAAGAAGTAAAGAAGCAATTCAGTTTGGCAGACCTTCCAGACCTGTGATTCCTCCTCAGCAGGAGGGCATCAGTGGTGACACTGCCTGTTTAAGTGGCCTGCCCACAATCCAATTTCCTCTGTGAAACAGCCATAGATTTCTTGAACTCAGATGCTGTGGCAAGTGACTTGATCACTTATTGTTTCCAGTGACTCCAAACCAAAATCCTTCTTAAACAGTCCCCAGCATTGTTCCTTGTGGGATTTTAGAACAGAGGAGAGAAAAAAGGAAAATGAAGGGAAAGAAATGTTGGGAAGGACCTACAACCAACCTGACCACATTGATCACCTCTCTAGGAAGCCCATTCCAGTGTCTGACCTCCCTTTCAATAAAGAAATTTGGTCCTCCCCTGATGTAGTTTTGAACCATTCCTATGCATCCTGTCACTGGATACCATTGATCAGCACTTTTGTCCCCCTTTCCCTCCTCAAGAAGATGTAGAAAGCAATGAATACTTTATAATTTTATTGGAAGCTTCCCATCCTGATTAATAGACCAGCCTCAGCTGCTCTATATATGGGGTGGTCAGATAAGGTCTGTGTTAGCACTGGAACAATCACACCCTTAACTCTCCATTCCATGGCTGAAATTTCCATGACTATCAGCAACCTTCATGACCATGAAGACATTTCTTGCTGCAGGACCTGCAGGAGCATCCAGCAGTGAGCAGGAGGCCATACAGGTCATAACCTGGCTACCACTGAGTTAGGAGGCATAAGAGAAAGGTGGCAGGGGACTGTGGTGGAACTAGTCTGTCAGGGAAACTGTCCTCTTAGAGCATCCCCCTCTCAGGCAGCCCCTGGGAAGGGAGGCAGAGTAGTCTGATGGCTGAAGCAAGGACTTGAGGATTTGCTCCCAGCCAACCTGGCAAAGAGGCTTTTTGAACTTTGCAGAGTTGCTAACTGCCATGGCTAGTTTCCTCCTCTGAAGAAAGCAAGCAATTCCTCAGAAACACAGAATCACAGAATATTCTGAGCTGGAAGGGACCCACAAGGATCATCAGGTCCAACTCCTAAGTGAATGGCTCACACAGGGATCAATGCCATGACAATGGCATCATTAGCACCAGGCTCCAACTGAGTCTCATTTGACATTTCTACAACAGCCGCAAGTAAGACGCCCTTGTTCTTGAATGTCTGGGGGAAATGGGATTCTTTTTTTTCCTCTCCCCTGGATTTTTCTGTTGGGGCTGTCAGCACCATAGGGCAGTGTGAATTCTTGCTACAGAGGGGGCCAGAGGAAGAGAAACAGATGACCAAATAACTTCAGAAGAATGGGGATTGCCTCCAGGGAGCTCCCCTTCATCCTGCTCTCTCATCAGCTGAGAGATATTCAACAGCATCCTGCTCTGCTAGACACTGAATATTTTATATCATGGCTACAACCAGTGCATTTGTATTCTGTTTCTCTCTTTCGTCATATCTATTATAAACGAATAGTGTCTGGGAACTCTCCCAGGAAAGATTTGCCTGGATGGCTACAGATATTTTATAGTCAAATTTTGAGAGTAAACCAGCTTTCAAGTTCTGTAGTGGGGAAAAAAAAAAATGGTAATAAAAGGGTTATTAAAAAAATAAATAAATGTCAGGATTTTATACGGCTACTTTTTGTAGTGACAGAGCTTAAGTTTGCTCCATGATGGAGCTGGAGTTGCTAGATGAGCTTGTGATAGGAGACACCCTCTTGCTGGCATTGTCTGCTGACAGGAGCAATATGATACACTCTTGTGTACACTCTGGCTTGGCAGGACTTCACTGGCACTTTGTGAGCCAGGGGTTGTGGCCATGACTGCAGGCATCAGGGATAGCCAGGTCTATGGGAAGCAAGGCATGGCTCAGGATTGCAGCAACCCTACCTTTACCTTCACACTGTTGCATCTGTGAGATTGATGGGAGGGCAGGGTTTGTCCCCTCATTTCACAGAAGAAATCCTATGGAGTCCTACATCCTCCTCTAACAAAGGGCTAAAGAAGAAGAGCTGAATAAACTTGTTTTGTCCTAAGAACTCTGAGAAGACTTCAGCCAATAAGGGCATCAAGCCTGGCAACAAGGTACTGAGTTTCAATATGCAGGGAGATATATGGTGGGTTTGCTGGACTAAGTCATGCATTCCACGGGCCGAGAGAAAAATAACTTTTTTCTCATTTCATTCTCTTTCAATCTGTCTCTGTCTGATCAGTCTGATTTTAAAATTTGGTCTCTGAGCTCAGCAGCACCCACCATGGAAAGAGTGGGTGCTGCTATCTACCCACTGTCTATGTACAGAAATTTATCAGCACCTTTTTACAACAAGAGGAAAACCAGAGATCAGGCAGGGGCCATAATGTTGGGTATGAAGGGAAAAATCAACAGATATAAAAGATGTCTGAAGCTGAAGAACAGAAAATGGAACTCAGGCTTTCTTAGGTCTCAGGAGAGAGGTCACCATCACTTTTGGGTAATTTGTGGGCAGAGCAATCAGTAAAGAGTTAAAATGCTAAAAGTAAAAATCCTGTAATGAGCTGATTCTCTGACACGTCCAGTCCACCCCATCTCCAGACAGACCACCACAAGAGAACTGTTAAACTGAGCTCTCTTCCAAAATCAAGCAAATGTTGATGAGCTTTTACTTCACCTGTGAAATTAACTTGGGAATATAACACAAGAAAAAAAGCAAGAGGCCTCCTCTCCCTACAACTTTTTTTTTTTCAATTTTCCACCAGTCTGGGCCACTCTTCATCAAAGAATGAGACCCCTTTCCAAGCCTAGCAGAAGATGAGCAGGAATTAGGCAGCAGAGCTGACTTACCATAAGGGCCAGCTGCAGGGAACACATGAGTTTGCCAGACAGCATTAGCAGCTGGGCTCTGTAAGCTAAGCAGGTCCAGCAAAATCCAGTGTGAGCCAACACTGACACTGCTCTGCCTGAGCAACCTGCCACTGCCAGCATGACTACAACATGGAACAGTCTGTCTCCAGGGGGAATTCAGGTGTGTGAAAACACCTCTGACTTAGCCCAAATCCAAGTGCAGAGAGCAGATATGAACCTTTAAAACACAGACACAGATGGGGACCTGCTCAGTGAACTGCAGCCCAGCTCCTAGCCCCCGACAACCATGGTGTAAGGTTTTCAGCCTTACCCAGATTTTGCAGTTTAACCTCTCAGCTGTGCCACATGTGCACGGAGATGTGGCCAGACTCAGGAGCATTTTCCCTCCCAATGACATCTACAGTACTGAGCTGAGAGTGGTTAATTAACCCTGCTTATTGAAGGGCAGACACATTCCTGCCTGGTCCCTGATTTTTCAGTCAGGCTCTAGTCCAGCCGGTGATTAATAATCCTGCTGTGGGAAGAGTGCATCTATTATTCAAATTAATGAAATTATAATCAAGAGGTGATGAATTAGCAGTTGCTCCTTGACTGGATATGGAAACTCAGAAGTGCCAGGCACTTCTGTGGTTCTCACTGCACTCAAGGCTTACGGCAATGAGAGGAGGGAGCCAGGCAGAGCAGGCAGCCCCTTGGCACAGCTGGGGCAACACACATCCTGTGCACCCCAATGTAGCTGTAGCCACCCCAGAGCTCTCTGGTTCACAAAGCCACTTCACCCTCTTCTCCTGTCCAATGGACAGACTTACTGTAAGGTGCTGCCCCAAGTATGGGCTGTGACATCCTCACAACCCTGACACTGATGGGCTACAGGAAAAGTATTTGAGTGCAGCAGCCCACCCTGCTGCTTGGAATACTGGAGTAGGATTCCCACCCTCTGGAATTGCTGGTCACAGACATAGCTGCTGGAGCAAGAGGCTGGAGATCTTCCCCAAGAGCCCACATGAGGCTGAGTTTACCCTTCCCCAGAGGGTACTCACCAATGTGTTTCCCATACATGTGGTAGTAGAAGGAGACACAGTAATACTTGGCAGTGATATTGTAGAGGGGGCTGATGAGCCGGGCTTTGTCTCCTGTCACCCGGGGCCGGGATGCCTCAATGAACATGTAATAACCTGCAGAATGAGAGGGAAAGGTGGGAAAAGGCAGCATGCACTGCATCTCCCTTCCTTCAAATGATGGGGTGACAGTATGGCTGGGAGACCATCCCTCCTCTGGGAGACATGGCCAATTGCTCTGCGCGCACTGATCCTGGCCAGAGACACTTGCAGGATAGCCGCAGTAGCTAGTAGTAGTAGTAGTATTGAGGGAAGGGCAGGAGAGACAGGCATCTGCAGACCTGCTGTGAGCACATGTAGCAGGTGAACCCCTGAACATGCACATCTATCTGGGTGCACAAAGAGCCTCAGAGCTGACTGCACTGTGCAAGGAAAACACCAGAAAGAGAAACCATTTCAGACCAATTTCTCTCCCTTAAGTAGAGGGAGAGAGGATTTGGTACATCTAGCCTGAACGATATTGTTGTCTAAAGAGAACAATACCAAAGCAGTTGTTAACAGCCCAGGGAGGAAAAGATTAGCCATTTAATTTGTTAGCATCATTTTCAATGCTCAATCAGGTTGGTGTACCGAACACTAATGGGAAAAAACATTTCCTTAGTGGGTTATTGAATGTTTGCCATTTTTTTCCTGTGTGCAAAGGTATGTGTTTGCATACAAATTTACTTTCCTTATTACAGAAAGAGGGACATAGTATCCAGCTAAACTGGGAGCATGCACTCCACACACAGCTAGGGGGAACAATACATAACACCAGTTTTCTCTTCTTCTTGCTATAGGCAAGGCTTCTTCCTGCCCCACAGGCAGCTCCTGCCAGGTCTCTCCTGCTTCTGTGATGGGTACTAAGGAGATCTATTTGCATCCCTGAGAACTTCTACGAGGAAACAACTCACTAAAACCTACAAGGCCATTTCTGGGTATTAGAGATATTCTCCTACTCGTTTATCCATTTTTTTTTCTTCAAAACAAGCATCAAACAAAGTGCAAGAGCATTAGGCATCAGGCAATTAGCTGACAACAAGAACTAATACTCACACTATTCCTCCTCCAACAAAGTTGTGGGTGTTTTAATTGTGTGTTTAATTCCAATCAGTAACATGCAAATTAACTGCCTGCTCCCTGCACCTTGTGTGAAGTAGAAAGCAGATCAGCCGTCCATTAGCTCCCAGAGCTGTAAGATTCCTGACAAGAGATGGTGTGCATCTCCCCTCCCCTGCCAAACCAAAAGAAACCAGACTTGTGCCTACCCTCCGGCGTACCGCTGATGTCTGTGGGGGGCCCTGTGTTGACAGTGCGCTTGGGGTTCTGGGTCAGGGCATTCTGCCGGGTCCAGTCAAAGTTGTCCATCTTGTCCTGCATGAAGCCACAGATCTTCTCATCCTCAAAACGGCAGGTGTTATCTGTGGGGATGGGAAGGGGCTGCTCAGCTGCTTCTTTTTAAACACCCTCCCCAAGCTGTCTGGGTGCTCACAGCCATGCTGTGTCACCACCACTGAGGCTCTGTCTCAAGCCAGGGGCAGCCAGCCCCTGACCTCAGGAGGAGGCTGAAAAGGAAGGCATCATAGAAATCACAGAATGGATTGAGTTGGAAGCAGCCTCAAAATCCATTCAGTTCCAAACCCATCGCCACGGGCAGGGATGCCATTCACTAGATCAGGTTGCCCAGGGCCCCATCCAACCTGACCTTGAACACTACCACAGATGGGGCACCCATAACACTTCCGGTCAGCCAGCTCCAGTGCCTCACCATTCTCTGAGTAAGGAATTTACTCTTAAAATCTAATATAAATGCCTCCTCTTTTATTTAAAAATGTACCCCCTTTTCCTATCACTACCCATAATACATCAGTGGTTAATGTTACTACAGAAGTGTTAATCCAGGCTGGTGGATGTGATGGTCTGACAAAATGGAATAAAGCTATTATGGCTAAAGAGAAATAAATTCTCTCAGAAATCTGAAGGGGCAAATGTAGAGGAGGGTAAAAAGATCACCGAAGGCATACTGGCTACAAGGGCTTTTATATCAGAACAACTTGATGGTAGAATAATTTCCCCAAGAGAGAGGAAAAAGTAACAGCAGTAACCCCCCTTCAGGCTATATATTTAACTAAACTATGACACACATGAAAAAAATATCAGCTGTGAAGAAGAGGTCAGCTCAGCACGACAAGCATGTCATTTAGCCAGAGTACATCTAATTTACACCAGTTAAAACGCATATTTGATTTTGCAGCTTATGCTGCTTCCCCTAACAAAATAAAACATGTAGGTAAAAGACTTTTATGTAGGATCAACCACATGTGCAATAGGGCTCACTTTTATTACTACCACATGACAGTTATACCCTACAGCAATATTGTATGACAGATGAAAAATCTTGTGCATAGACATAACCCAATATGGACTTGCAGAGATTGGAATGAATTGGACACAACCAGGCTGAAGATTGTAACCTTTGTGTTAAAAAGGTAGTTTTGAGTCACAAAAGCAAAGGTCAAGAACCAGCTTTACACTGCTGACACAATAGGAGAAGGATGGATAAAACAGGCAAAAAAGAAAGAGAAAACAGGTCCAAGAACTGATGTGAAAACTGCTGTGTGTTTTGAAAGGCCACAGGGCAGAAACCGGAGGTGGAGAATGAGCTGGAAGTGGGATCTTGGATCTTGTGAGTGATGTAGATACAGCAAGCAAAGGTATCTTTAATTGCTGCTTTTAAGTAAGAGCAAGGAGGTGTGCTATGAAGTGTAAAGATAAAGCCATGAAAGAACACATACACAAAGGAAAACAAGGCTCTTCATAAGGACTTGGAATGTGTTAGGGACCTCATCCATGTCACGCTGGTGCGAGACTCAATTTTTTGGGGTTTACCTCCCCCTATTATTTATCATACCCAGATGAAGAGAAGCCCAAATGCCTCCTGGGGCTCCTGCATTCTTGTATCTTCAGTGAAGACTTTCTCTGGTTCCTGGGCAGGAGGCTTTTTCTCCTAGCATGTGACTTCAACGGGACAGGTAGGACAGAGCAGGGTCCTCAACCTATGGGCTGGATGCCAAGGATGGGACACACAAGGGAAGTTTTCTGCAATGTCAGGGCCAAAAACTCCAGATAGAGTACAATGTGATGGTAGGAGCTTCATACACCTACCATATACAACAAAATCTGTTATCCTGTACCAGAGAGGAGAAATTAAATGAACAGAATCTTGACTCTGAGATGCTGCACCTTCTGGTAGCTACCCTTCCTTCTGGTGGCTAGCATCCTCCTCATCCCCTCCCATTTAGAAATGAAAACAACTGTAATCCAAATGGACACCAAAGGTCTGCACACCCCTGTGGTAGGGAAGTGGGTTCCCCCTTCTTGCACATCTCTTTCCAGCATCCCATCAAAGCAGTGAGAAAAGAGGATGCAGCTTCCTGTGGTAATCTGCAAAAATATCTTTGCCAGCATAGGCCAGACAATGTGTGGCAAACCTGTTCACAGACCAGGAAAGCTAGGTTTTCAGTAAACTCAGTGGGAAACGCTGCATGCCCATTCCTTTGGGCTGAGCACAGTCATAGGGAGCTTTTCTGGGCTGGCTGCTTAATTGCTGATTAATCCTGGCTAAATGCTTTCCACTCAATCTGCTCATTTCTAATTAGCATCCAAATCCAAATTAGCCACTGCTCTGCAGTGCTTAACACAGAGGCCTGAATGGTATCTGGAGCTGAAGGAGGGAACAGAGGACAGGGCAGATGCTTGCAGGGTCTGAGACAGGGTAACTGTGTGGGATAGAGGGTCTCTTTCATCCCCAGAACAAAGAGATGGAAGGTAAAAAGAGTCAAAAGACAGCTCCTAAGGGTCCTTTCTCAGCTCTTTTGGCAGAGAGAAGTGAGTTCATGGCTGTACCAGATCCCCAGTGGTCCTCAAAGGAGAGGCTGGAGCCCACAAGCTTGCTGATGTTGCTGGGTGGTGTAATACCCCTGGTTTCTCTCCACTGGACCAAAAACATCTGCATGACTCCAGCTCATGGGTTGCCAGCTGCATTTAAAAGAGACACATTTTCTCTTAGAATGGCATTATCTTACAGGATCCACAATGACTGTCCTTTTGCAATTGCACCTCTGACCCACGTTGAGCACATGGACTTTCAAAGAAAGATGACATCTTTCTCCCAACACAGAATTACCTTAACAGGGGATATCAGGTGGAAAGCAGAGTTGGAAGCTGTAACACAGAGGTCAGCCAGGCAACTGATTGAGAGGGAACAAACCGCGAATGAGGAAGCACAGAAATCAAAGAAAAGGCAGATTAAAGAGAAAGCACAAGCTCAAGTGGAGATCAGAGAAAGTTGTGCAAGACAAGAGGACCTGAGGACAGCATTCCCAACTTAGCACTAAGGCCTGGTTGTGCCAGCCTGGTAGATTACTGTGCCTCATTTGTAAGAAGCCATACACACGGGATGAGTCTGCTCAGAGAAGTTGACTCAAAAGCCTGTAGAGAGCTCTTTTAACATTAAAATAGGGCCTTGAGTGCATTCTCTCTTCTCACTCAAAAATGCAGCTCCTTCCAGAAGGCAACATTTCTAGCAGAGCACATAAAACAGAGAAGAGTCCCATGCATCACAGATCAGGCAATGCTGTTGCTTAATCAGCAGTATGATCCATCTTATGTGCAACACCAATTGCTGTGCAGAAGTTTGAACCTCACCTCTTGCTTAGCTTGGGAGCTCAAGACACTTTGCAACAACTAATGAACAAGGTTTCTTAATTTCTCTGTAGCATAGCAATGCCTCTTTCTATATATCTTCTGCATGTGGGGAAATAGATGAGGAAAGTATAGAGAGACACAGTTAAGGGCACAGCAGGCAGTGCCTAAGCTGGAAACAGAACCCAAGTGCTCCAACTCCTGGTCCTTTGGTACAAAACAAGCCACAGGAAAACAAAGCTCTTTGGTTTCTCTGAGCTACAAGTGGAGGTGCCATGAATAACTAGGAAGTGTTCAGTGTGGTTTGGGACACTGCTAGTATGTCACCTCTGGATGGTTATCAACAAACCTCACCAGGACAAACCTGGCAGATTCAGCCAAGAAGAAAACCTTTAAATTACCTGCTGTACCACAGAGGTGATCTGGCTTTTGACCTCGACTGTGTGTTGTAAACCTTCTTAAAGACTTTTGCCATTTGCCAGGGACCCTGGCTCATCAACAAGGTGTAAAGGAAGCTTCCTGTTTAAAATTTAATATGTGTATCTAAATACTGAACAGAGAAATTGTTCTCTGGATTGTTACAGACAAGGTGGAAGTGGCAGAGGAGCCAGCTCTTCAGAAGCTGGATTTAATGCTGTCTTCACTAAACACACTTCCTTGGCAGGCTTTGCAGTGGTGGCAGCTCAGAGTGCAGAGATGTTTGCTCTCAGTTACAGACACCTCCATGCATTCCCAGGGGAGAGACTCTACTGTGGCTATTAGGATTTCTTGTTGCTTTGCCTTCTTGAGAAACATAATGAAGGTTTTCCTTTCAAGTCCTTAGGTGAAATCCTTCCCTGCTTCTGAAATTCTGTCTGCCAGATGAATGTAAAAAATAATAATCCTATTCTAGCTGCAGACTATGGGTGAATAGCAGATAGAGTACACTTGAATAAAACTGCCTTCATCATTTAGCTGTGGTGTGACAGCTGACACTGTCTTGGAGCATAAAGGATCATGCTCCAAGCCCCAGTTCTGTTGTAGACCTGCTGTGTGACCCACAGGCTATCATATTTTGGACATCAGTTTCCCCATCTAGAAAATTAAGACAATGAGAACTGTATTGAGACCTCAAAATACATCATGATCTAAGAAAGAATATTTAGCAGTCTCTCCCATTGCAATTTTCTACGGATTTTATAACCAGTAATGGAAGAAAGCTTTGCAATGCTGTAACTGGTTAAGTCATCCTATTTGTCATCAGGATACAAGGAACTGTCACCTTTTTTAACCTTTGCATTACAAAACATTCTTGAAGAACAGGCATAAACTCGAGTAATCCAACTCTAAACACAGGCTGACATCTCTTTCTGACATGTTCTTATCTGAACAAACTTGGGTTCCTCTGAGCATTATCAGAGACCAGACACACCAGTAATATATGGTAAGCAACAATCGAGGCTAATCTACAACAACCACCATCTGCCACGGATCACCACTCACTCTGTTTGTCCATGGTCCCAAAATTAGCACCACACACAGCCAGACTGCAGGTATGTGAGAAACAGTGTTGCTGCCCTGAAAGGGCAAGACACAGTCGGCCAACCAAGAAATAAGTGAGCTATCCCATATACATCTTAATGACCTCATCACCAAGGTTACAAGGTTACATCTGATAAAATAAGGGAAAACAAAACACCCGCAGATGAGGAGCTGGAATGGCTTGTGGGGCAGCACTCCAGAGTTTAGTTTAGAAAGCAAAAGTTATATCCAAATAAAATTGCAGAGTAGGTAAGGACAGAGCAGATTCCCCAGCACTGGAATTTGGTCATGACATTAGAACAATCAGTTATTCTAAGAGAACTCTAAGGTAAAATCTTAAAATTAAGATAATTCTTAGGCATTTTTTAAAATACAAATTCTGTTTTTTAGAACCAGATGAACTGATTTTTAGGAGTCAGTCTTATTGGTAACCTCTAAACATGTTTTAAACCTCCCAATGTTCACTTCTTCTGCTCCTCCTTTGCTTTTCCTTTACAACCCAATACCTGGTTCTGTAACCGTGCCACACGCATGCTTGCCCCAATGTTATTAGCATCTTATTAGGCTGAGAGAGAAAATGCATGAAGAAGTAATTGTATTAAGTGACTCTGAGAGTTTGTAAATTAATCACCATTGTGCACGCCCTTGGATCAGGCTGCCAGAGGCATTAATCATCTAATCTTTGCCTTTCACTCCAGGGCTTTCAATGTTTGCTTCCAGAATTTGGCTCAGCAGTCTAGTGTGAACTTTTCCCTGGGGCTGTGGTGGCAGGAGAAGTATGAAAAGAAGTGGTAGCAGGAGCGATTTCTATGTTTTTGGGATGAGTGTTGGGGAACTCAGCTGTGGTCCAAAGAAAGAGCTAAAAGCCTTTGGGTTCATATTTCACTGTCAGCAGGTCTGAAAGGAAAAGGCATATATGAAAGCAAGTGTGGTAGGTCCGATTTTAGGCAGTCAGTCTCAAGGTGTGAATTCATGGTCAAGGCCCTCACAACTGTCCCAGAGGTCCCAATATCCACCAGAGGCTGGGCAGTTTATATCAAGGGGAAATCATAAATATATTGCATGAAATATGAATCATATTAATGAATAATATGAAATCATAATTACTGCACGAAAAACATGAGTAGTTGAGTTATATTCCACCATAGGCAAATTTCCTGCAGTTGTTCTGGACTGAATCAAACTGCCAAAGCTACACCAGGCAGGCAATCTGAAGTCGCAGTTTACAAAGACCCCAAGAGATTGACACAATTAGGACTGAAGTTGCTCTGAGTTTACCAGTGATTTATGCAATGTAAAAGCAAGTGGCAAAAGGCCAGATTTTGTCATTTACACCTGTAGGCTTGCCTTCTCCAGCAAGTACTGAGAGACACATTCTAGAGTAGCTTCCTGGCAATATGCTCTGTGTTTCCCAGTGAGTGTTCTATGGAGAATATTTAAAGTAGATCAGAAAGTGAGGAAAAGAAAGCAAATGGAATCACAAATTACAGCCACAAAATACCTCTGACTCTGTAAGAAGCTCCTACTCTCAGGCAGAGTATGGTTCATCAAACCATCCTCAAGGCTGTGAACGTGCAAGAATTAATACCTTATGGCTGCCTGATTCTGCCATCACCTAATCCTGGCTTCTCCTCCCCACTGCTATTCTGCAGTGCAGCAGTAGAACTTACCTACACATAGAGTACTACATAAAAACATTGAATGCTGACTCAGCAGCTGGAAACAGGGAGAAACAGGCACATGCTCTCCATGGAGCACTAGTAAGTAGTCTGCCCATCTCTGCCCAAGACCTTTGCCTGGGCTTACATCCTACAGTCAAAGTGAAGGGACCTTGTTGCATGCCTGGAGATCATTCCCCCACTACTTACAGCAAGCTAGAATACCTCTTTTATGCTTAATGAGCACTATCATGTCGGTGTTAAAGAACATCTTTCTTAGACATTGTGTATTCTGCTCTCAAAATCCATGGGAACTCTGGATGCTCAAAACACACAGGCCTGCATCTTGCCAATAATAACCAGGTTAATAAGCAAATCTACAGTGATGATACTGAAGGGGAATAAGAAAGAGACTGTGCTCAGAGTTTGCAAGAAAAGACAGATCTGAGCTGGAGACTGTTCCATACAAGCCTGCAGAGATACCAAGCAGTATCATTCCTAGTCAGAAGAGGATGTGGAATATTCCTAAACCCAGATATTTTGGGGAACACTTAGTAACCTGCTTACTGAAAGTAGATTGTTCATGCACGTTCATGCATGTTCATGCATGTTCATGGGGCGTGGAGGTGGGTGCTCAAGATCACAGTCTGCCCCATCACAAAGATATCAGGTGTGAGGGAGAGGCATATCTTTGGCATAAATCTCCTGGCAATAACTCAGGGTACAACAAATGGCAATATTTACTGGAAGCTTTAGTGTACATAATTTTATCCTCTTTTGGGGAAAAAAGATTTGACAAAGTCAGCTGTGTATTTCAGCTGCTTTTCTTGCCTGATCTGCTGGAGCACTCGACTAAAGTACATTACATTCAAAGCATTAATACAAAGGTCTTTGGCTTACCTGTTGGACTGGGATAGTTGATTGCTGGAAAAAGAAATAGAAAAACAAGTCAAAACAAAAGCACAAATCATAATCAAAGTCTGAAAATAAAACAAACATATCAAGAAAGGTCACAAATGCATAAGTCTCCTGGCAGCATCGCTACGAGAAAGCAGTGCTTAGTGCCTGTTTTGGTAATGGAAAAAGATTCTGACACTCTGATCCAAGCAACGAGAGACCTTAAGAAAACCCCACCTAGGGGGTGATCCTGGGATCATAGGGAAACCCTTCTGGCAACCCAAGTAGTTTCCTTCTGGAGCACACAGTGGGATAGCACCCACTTAGATACCAAAGCTAGGTATCTAAGAGGGATATTCAAGCAGTTTGATGCACTGTGGAAGACTGACATGACAGGTATGCTGGGGACACCTGACATGCCACGGGAAAAGAGGGTTGTGTGAAATCAAACAAACACTACAGGAGAAGGATCTGTACTTCCTGCTGAAATAGAGGGTCCAAACCCCTGTTGAAGAGTAAAGGAATCACAGAGTTGTGGGAATGGAGAGAGGTGTGAGCTGTTGGGATGATGGGGAGAGAAGTATGGTCAATGTATACCAATGAGATAACCTGGGATTCAAGGTTGGACAGAGCTACAGCTTTATGAACAACTAGTTAGGAAAGGAATAATGCATTCAGCTCTGGAAATAACTGAAGTCTCCCAAAATCCTCTTACTTTTAGGGGTGTGTGGCTAATACACAGCATCCAGTGTATATCTTGTATAAAAAGCCACTGTACCATGGGGAGTTGCAGCATGGCCTGATCCCTTTTGGGGATCTCTTGTCCATAGACTGCAGAGTGCGAGTCAGGGCTGCTGAGTGAAGGATGAGTGGAGGCTGATCTTCAGAGGTCTCTAGTGCTCTGCAATGATAGCAGCATCCAAAACACAGTCAAATGCGATAATGCTATGCCATCAGAACTTCTCAGAGCACAGAGACCCACCCAAGGGTCATGGAAGACCACCTCTCTGCATGCCCACATCCCCAGGCCTGAAGCTCAGACCTGCTCTTGTAGGCAGGACCAAGAAGGAGACACCTACGTTCCATGTACCGGATGATGCGGGCAGCCATATCTCCAGCCCCAAAGCTGGTGATGGGTGTCAGGCGAACTTCATAGCTCTGAGGCACTTTCAGGTTGGGCAAGATGTGCTCCAGCAACAGGCCTTTCTCAATTTTCTTCACAGGAATGAAGGTTTGGATGGTGTTTCTCTGAGACAGCTGCAGAGAAAAAGAACCCAAAGTGTTGAAAATGGAAATCTGGGCAATCATATCCATCATTTAACACCCTATTTCTCCCCTTTCTATACAGATGTACACGTGGTTGTTCCATGAGATCTTCATACAATATTGTTTTGAAAATTGCCATCCCTGGTATAAAACACTGATCAGGAGCCTGAGCTCTCCTTTAAGGGAAGCCTTCGTGTCCTCCAAGGCAGGGACTGTAGGGACAATTTGAACTACAGGTCCTGAAGCAAGTTTGTGTCAGAAGTAATGGCTTCAGGAGGGAGAAAATTAACCCAACTCACTCATGTTAGTGCACTCAGGTCCTGTGCAAATAGCATGGCATTGCACCATGACACTCTTCAGTTCACAATCACTGCTGCATAATTCATTCATTTGCTGCCCGGGCCATGTGGTACTTCATTTGGTGTCTCACTGGGAGCAGCCTAGTACCATATTTCCTCAGAAATCTTCCATAGGGTCCATCCTTGGACTGCCTCCGCAGACTAGAGCAAGGGGTCTAGTTCAAGTTGATGGTTCTCTGGGGTCACTCACAGGCTTCTTCTTCCTCTGATTCCCATTGGAAGGTGCTGAATTATGCTAGCTGAACCATACCAGCTAAACATTGTTCGGTTTGCTAAGGCAGCAGGGAAGTTTCAAGAAAACAATGGGCAAAATATCATTATCAAAATCACCACCACTAAAAATGATGAATTACATGTCAGCGAAACTTCCCTGCCATGGTCATGCTTGCTTGGCTGGGAAAGAATAAGAATGAGGATTGAATTGTGAAGATGCAATTTCCTGCCTGTCGCTGTGCAGTACCTGGATCCTTGTGGCAAGATAAGTTACTGGGGATGCTGGTGCTGGTAAAAAGACCTTTGGCAGGACTTTCCATAGTCCAGTGTTCACTAAGCTTTCCCTTGCCTTACCCCTAGGCTGAAGTTCTCATCGCACAAAGGCAGCTCTCCCGACAGGCAGTCTCAGTGTTCAAATGTTGTAGTTCATTTATTTAATTTTGTTAAGAATTTGTTAAAACTTGTTAGTACGTTCTTGTTTCCCCCTGTTGATTGTAATGGTTTAGCCCCAGTTGTCTGTTATACAAACCCCTCCCACTTTTCCTGAATGTTCCCCGTCAATCACCTTTACTCTGCCCAATCTCCCCATCTCCCCTTACCCCTCCCTCTGTGAGCTCCCATTGGACTCTGGACTGTGCCCACCCCTGAGATAAAACCCAGTGCACAGAGGTGCTCGGGGCTCTCTTCGGTCCTGATTTGTCCGAGCCCAGACCCTTGTACTCGTCCCTTCTCCCCAGTAAACCTGTTCCTGGGAAGTACAGCCGAGTGAGTCTCCTCCTTCCTTTTGCTACCACCCACGACGCCTGATGTGTCAGAGCCTGGCAGGATTCGGTGCTCTGAAGGTTCTGCAGTGGGATTGCCTTTCCCCTGCAGTTCCCGACTCCTGGCGACTGCCTGTGCCGGAGTGGCAGAGCTAGCCCGGAGCTCCGGTGCGGCCAAGAGCAGCATCAGTTGGCGCCCAGCGTGGGGCCTCTGGCTGGAGACCTCATGGAGGAGTCGGACAGACAGCTACCCATCAGTGGACTTTTGGGCAGCGACTACCCCGGTAGTAGCAGACTAAATTTCGTCTGGTGGCGCTCTCGGGGATTGAGGCAGCAACCCTCCTCACGCAGAGGATCGCCTCGGGGTGTGGACATCCCTCACAGCACTCTGTCCGGACCTGGTGTGGTGAGTTCCCCAGAGGGAGAAAGTGATAAGGGCTTATTTTGGGTTCCGGACCCTTATCTTTTGTTCTTTTCAGTTTTCCTTTGCTGTCGAGGGGTGGTAGGATTGCTGAGCCGAAGTGTTAAAAACTGGGCGTGAAGTTGTCGGCTCAGCAAAGGGGGATTTATCTCCAAGTTGTGGGAATCCTTGAGGGGGGAGGGAAAAAGTTTTCTAACGGGTTAGTTAAGAGATTAGTTAGATGGCTGTTCTTGCACTTACCCCCATGTGTCCCCAGAAAATATAAGTTCTGTTAATTTTTGTACTATCGTGGGCAGTAAATTGACAGTTTTAACTAATCAAGGGGACAAGACTGCTTTTAAATTGATTCCACTTTTTGTTTTAATCAGGTCCACATTAATTGAAAAACGGGGAGTGCAAGGACAGCCAGGGCAGTTTTCCCCAGTTTCCCTGCCCCCGTGTTCCTCTACCTCTGCCCCTAAGTTGGGGGAGACTTGCGGGGCATCCCGTGCTACACAGGGCACCAGCAATGGCTCTAGTCTCCCTGGCTCCCCACGTCTCCCTCAGCACCCCAGCCCTGGCAGCCCTGGCCAAATTGCCAGAGCCTCTACCCAATCCCCTGCTTCCCCGGTTGTCAGTCCAAAGTTTAATGCTTCCCAGGTTGTTAATCCCCAGTTAAATGAAGTTAAAAACCCCCAGCACATATCCCAGAATCTTTGTTCCCCTGTGTTCCCCCATACTCCTTGTTCCCGTGTGTTCCCCTGTTCTTCCCCTGACCCACAAAATGGCCCCCAGAGAGCATAAGATGGCGGGGACCACATGGTCGGACCCCTTCCTTGTGCTTCTCCTTCCCACAATCCTTTTCTTCCCCCATCGACCAACCCCTTCTTCCTTAACTCCTCCCCTTCTCCATACCTTGACCCCTCCCACTTCCTCTCAGGAAATTCCTCCTCCTCCAGGGCATGTCATCCCACCACCACACCCCCAAACCCCACCTCTTCCTGCTGTTGCTCCTCCTTTAAGCCCTCCTACTCGGTTGGTCCTCCAAAAGCCCCGCCCCTTCTGGCTTCTGGTTCCCACAGCCCTCCTTCTGGTTCCTACGCTCTGGAAACCGGAAGTGACAGGCTTGGCAGCCAGAACTCAGAACTGGTTGATATTCCCTTCGTTGCACTGGTGAGTTTTCGTGGCAGGGGAGGGAGACACCGTGAATGGCAACCCTTCTCCTTCCAAACCAAGAGGGAATTGTGTAAAGCTGAGAAAGAGTTTGGGAGAAGTGAGTATTTTAAAGGCTTGTTGAAAGCTACCTTCTCTACAAATGAAATGGTCCCCTCCGACTTAAAAGAATTGTTTTCATGCCTCCTCTCCTCAGCTGAGTTTAAGCTGTGGAAACAGGGGTGGAAGAGGGTGTTGGAGACCATGCTTCCTGAGCTATTGCACAATGAAGATACTGCAGTTGACATGAATGAAAACCCCCTCACTTTAGATCACCTGTGTGGCGAAGGGAATTGGGCTAAACCTGAGGAGCAGGCCAGGGGTTTACCTCGGTCTGTTCTTGTTAAAATTGCGGAGGCCACCGAGAAAGCTTTCAATTTAATGCCTGAGGAAGAACCCCAAGCCAGTTTCCTGTCAATTAAACAATTCCCTAATGAACCTTTTGTTAAGTTTGTTGATAGGCTCCAGGCACAGGTGGAGAGACAGAGAAAGCTGAGCTACAGGAGAACATTCTGTTGGAAGCGGTGAAAAATAATGCCAATGAAGTGTGCTGCCGAATCATCCTGTCTGCCTCTCCACCCGCCTCCCACCTTAGAAATGATAGTAGAAGCATGTGCAAAGAAGGCTCCGATGGTGGGACTCAGCCAGACAGCACCAGCACCAAGGAAGACACCATCTGCGGCTGTGATGCAGCGTACACCACTAAGCCAGCTGCAGTGTTTTTGCTGTGGACAATTAGGACATTTGGCAAGGGAGTGTCCAGCTCCCAGCCCTTGCCATGGGAACACAGGAAACAGCATGGGAAGAAGGGTTCCCCCATCCAATGACATCAGGGGGAATAAAGATCTAATAAATGCAAAAAAAACCTAGGAGCGCAGTGCAAACCTGTCCCGCGCGAAGCAACAAATGGGACAGGTCTCGCTGGGGGGTTGGGGGCACAAAATAACAGGATTTGGCCTATCAACCGGACACGACATTTAACTAATATCAAAGACATTTTCTTCTGGTCCCAGCACTGGAAGGTAGTTGCTGTGGACCCACTGGATGGGACTTTGATGGATTCCGGACTAGCCTGTAAGTACATTGCCATTGGGGACACTAAACACACACCCCCAGAGATTGAGATCTCTGCGATCACCTTTCCGGGGGGTCCGGAGAACCTCATTGTCTTGGCGCGCTGTACTCACCCACCCTTCTTTTTGGTGAAGGGCCAAATCATTGCCCAAATCATACCTATCCCAGAAGAAATCCCAGTGGATGATCATGCACCAGGCATCTACTGGGCAGAGGTTGTGGGTGAAGACAAACCTATCATTGATTGCAGCATCAAGCAGGGTGCAGAAACATTAAAAATGAAGGGTCTGCTTGACACGGGAGGAGATGTGACAATCATCCCTGAAAGGAGATGGCCGTCACATTGGGAGTTGCAATCTGTGGCTGGCAAGATTCAGGGTATAGGGGGCACACAATTGGCACAAGTATCCAAGAGCGTGGTACAAATTGCGGGGCCAGATGGGCAATTGGCAAATTTACGCCCATTTGTTGCTGACTATCAGGTTCCCCTGTGGGGAAGAGATCTCATGTCCCAATGGGGGGTGAAAATAGAGATCCCAAAAACCCCTCGGGATTTTTAGAGGTGGTCACTGTGGAGCGCCCTTTCCAGAAGTTAGATTGGACAACGGATACAGCGGTCTGGATTGATCAGTGGCCGCTAAGAAAAGACATATTAAAGGCGCTCAACGAACTTGTGGAGGAGCAATTAGCTAAAGGAAACATAGTTGAGACAACCAGTCCTTGGAATTCCCCGGTCTTTGTAATCCATAAGCCGGGGAAAGACAAGTGGCGGCTCCTTCACGACCTTCATGAAATCAACAAAGTCATTGTAGACATGGGACCTCTCCAACCTGGGATGCCTACCCCAACCATGCTCCCACGAAATTGGCAATTGGCAATTATTAATATTAAAGATTGTTTTTTCCAAATTCCCCTGCACCCTGACGATGCCCTATGGTTTGCCTCCTCGGTGCCCACCCTTAACTGAGAAGC